ACTAACCACTATACACTACCTTGAGACTCTCTCGACAACCTTGACAACCTATAGCCCCACTCATCCACCAAACCATGTAATCAACTCACTAAGAGTTAATTACCTGTAACACGCTCCTACAACTATCCAAAATGAGAATCACTCCTTAACAACCCAGTCTCCAAAACAGACTCTTACAAGACACAAAATGCTCCACACCCTGCAACCGGTCCTATATCACCTTAGACCTATAGAATCCAACAAGTACCCATGACAGTCAGAACCAACACGCCTTCCCAGACCGCACCAGAAGATACATATCTACATCTCATAGACTACATTCACGACTTAAATAATTTCTGTCACACCTACCACGACTGGTTCGAAAAGAACCTCCGCACAAAACTGTGACCCGAGTCATAAACACTAACCTTCTAAGGTCATACATTTCTCCCTTGAAACCCTCACTCGCACACCTGACCTTTATGGTTACAGGAACTCATCCACTGATGTATGAAACTCACACACAACAAGGGCACCATACCATGAAATATGAACCCGTTCTAAAGTCGTACCCTAAGCACCACACAAAATGTAACAAGAAAATCAAGATGACTACACACTGAATAGCTCAATCCCAGAGCTAGAAGTCCATGCCATTCGTTCAATAAGAACCGACACCCCAAACAACCCTGGAGCAACCGAGCTCTTCGCCTACTCAGGTCAAAACCCACACTACCGTCTACGTCATAACAAGTACTCTACCCTACTAGCAACAATCCTAGGCTCAATCGCATATGCACATAAATATATAAATATCTATATAAAAAATGACTGTAATCCACAATACCATATGAAACGTGTTTTCATATACCATACCCACTACTTGCCACATTATTATTTAAATTTAAATCTGCACAAACTGTGCCTACCACTCGCCATTGTCATGCATCTCAGACTTTTCATCTTGTCACAATTAACTTGCTTTCAAATCACATATACACTTCCTTTACATATACTGACATTTAAACACGTAAGCATGTAAACATTTAGAAAAATAAGCATGCCTTTTAAAACCGTAAACACATAAGCAATTAAGCAGTTGGACATACTTTTCAAACAACTTAACACCTTAATACATAAGTATATAAACATGTAATTCAACTTCCCATGCAACCCTAGGTAGGCCTCTACCCGTCATCCTAATGGTATTCGAACCATTGCTCTGATACCATTTTTGTAACGACCCGAACCCGAGGGTTCGAATCACTAACCGGGTCCTTACCCAAACCCGAGATCAACCAAAGACGTTACCATTCCTTCCTATGGCAATACATAATATACGTGTCATCTTAGGGTTTATAAAAAATAATAATAATAATGATAATAATAATAATAATATGAGGTCATAGCTACAAAATAGATCAAACAGTCCACTAACCTATCAAAACCTGTAAAGGAATGTCATCCGCTACTTCCTTTCCCAAAACCTGAAAAATGTTAAAATAATGGGGTGAACATAAGCTCAGTAGGAGGTGTCTAAGACACACCTCTTATGACCCCGTGAATCTACGTATAGAATAGAAATCAAGAGAACGGGATCATACTATACCAGGGATACAATCCATAACCACAACGTCAAATATAACCACAATTGTCATCAAAGTCATAAGTATACCATGTATGACAATGAAGTGCAATGCCATGCCCATGTCGCTCCCCTTATCCGAAACATCTCCATTTCAACTTCCAAACCGTTAGTATAATCCGACCCAAGGCACCTCCAAGGCGTCACGAAAGGAGGGTTGGCTAACTATCCACGACCACAAGGTACCTCCAAGGCGTCGCATCTGGCCTAGTTAACTCAACTACACTCCATTCTAGACTACACGAACACCAGGGACCACTAGGCGCCTCTTAGGCGTCCAGTTTTCACAAACACATTTCAAAAAAAAAATTCCAAAACAATTTCATTTGTTTTCTAAAACACTTTTCCCTTTATCTTTTATTCCCAATGGATGCATGAATGCTTTATGTTCCATACTTCTAAGCACAATTCAACAATAAAATCCTACATGCTTTTCTACATCATCATCATTTTATTATTATTTTATTTTATTTTATTTTTTTATAGGAAATTCCAAACAATTATTTAACAACCACAACATCAATTTCCATGGCAATTGAGAATTAACAAGTCACACAATATACCAAAATTAAGCATGCTTCTTCACAATAATGTAAATCGCCGTGTATATAACCCAATTAGCATGTAAAACATATTTGTTATTTTGAGCACATACAACCACAATAGCAATGGACAAGATAATTAAAATTAAGCATGCTTATTGTCAAATTAAAGAGTAAAATTCACAAAAATGCAAGAAGTCATGGATTAGAACACCCCTACCTCAATTTTGTAGAAAACCCTCAAATGGGTCTAAATTTTTGGAATTCCTAGGTTGGCCAAAAGCTGAAATTGCTTACATCAACTTGAAGATCTCATCGAGCTCTTCGATTTGCCGCAAACGGCATCAAAAAATTCCAAAAAATAAGGAAGTAATTGAAGTTTGAAGAAAAAAAAAAAGAAAAAGAGAAAAAGAGAGAGAGGTATACTGCCGTAATGAGAAGAAGAGAATAACTATCAATTTAGCTATATGAGGTTATATGCACAAGGGTTAGTCAACGTGGGCCCTACAATCACAATACCATCTTTTCTTTCAATTTCGTCCGGAAGCTTCCATATGCAAATTATATATATATATATATATATATATATATATAAAGATGCAATAAAACCAAATCTCTTTCTCAAGCCGCAATAGCATTTCCATTTTTCTTTTTCTTTTTTTCCTTCCTTCATCGGCAGCCTACTACTACTTTCATTCCATCAAATGCTACAATATCTAAATATATCTATATATATAAATATAATGCAACATAACCAAATCCAATAAACTGAAACATAATTAAATAATATATATCCAAAAAAAGAAAAATGATGAAATAAGAAACATTACATATTCACTTATTCTAATGTACTATTGTTACACTATTATATTTTCGGACTGCTTGAAAAAAATTATTTTTTCAGTGTTAGCATGCCTACCTTGAACCAAATTCCTAACTCCGCCCCTAGTCGGAGTTAAAGATTAATTTAAAATAGAAAATTGCAACCAAACAATCTAGAAAGGCCATTGTCTGAATTCTACCAGTGAGAAAGGTCACACTCATATTATCAAAAGATGACTGGATAAGCTACCCTGTAATATAGTAATCAATATACTCACGATAATATCACTAGTCTTCTATTGAGATGTCTGTAAATCTTGTTTTGTTCTAGTTTTGATAAACTCTAAAAGAAGAAAATAGTTCTAAGAGAACAAAGTTTACATTGGCTTAAATGAGTGAAAAAAAAATATAGGCGTAAGAGAGTTAAGTTTTCTTTGCCCCCTTTTTCTCCTTTTCTTCTGCTTCCTTGTGAAATTGCTCACACACACACACACACACACACACACACATATATATATATATTAAATTATATATATAATATAATATAATATAATTTTATAATTCAAATCACTTAGAAGTTTGTATCAATTATAAATCCTACTATACACTATTAATTCTTTTTAATTTATTAGGTAATTCTTATTTTTTTTTATTAATTTACAGTAGCAGAATTTTGTTGGTTTCTGAATTGTAGCCGAATGATTTTTGTTAAATTAGTAATTCTGAATGTAGTATGTTATTAACTATTCTGTATGTATTCACTTCAGTTTCAGGAATGATAGATATGAATGAATTAAAAGTTTTGAATATTAACAGTTCTGAATGTGTTGGTTAACTTGTATTGTTGTTGTGTATTTAGATTTTGAAATATGAATACTTATGTAGTAAGGAAATAATAATAAAAAGAAAAAAAGAAAAAACATTAAAAAAATAAATAAATAAAGAACATGTAGAACCGAACCGAACCAGTTTCTCACGGTTTGGTTTGGTTTGTTTCATTTGGTCAAATGGATGGGTTTGGTTCTACAGTTTCTAGAACCGTTAAAATCGGTTTGGTTTCAAAAAACTCTCAAACCAGTCCAAATCAATTCAAATCGAACCGTGTACAACCTATAAATAATTGGGTGTACACCACCATTTTGGATTAAATCATTCAAAGTATAAACTACCAACGTTTTTCTCCATCTAGAAGCGTAAGAACTTGGTAATTTACAATCAACCATAATACAATGATTAAAAAAATAAAAAATAAAAAGGCAGAGAAGTGAATTTTCACTTTGGATTGATAAGTCCAAGCAGGTAAATGTGGCATTTCTTCAAAACAAGGAGGCCATCATTTGATATTGTATCAAAACCAATACAAGAATGATCGAAAGAGTTGCAAGCTATGGAAAATCAGCAGACTAGTATATATTGTTGACTTAAATGGTGGTACAAGTAAAATTAGTTGGCCCTTTCTGTAACAATTAATTTGGGGTCTTTCAAGTTCTGAAAATAACTTCAAACAAATTAATGTTGCTGCTGCTCCCAACTCTTATTGGCTTTTAATTCAATTCGTTGCTGGTCGCGTGCGAGTATTTTGATTGTTTCGAATGGCTCACTCTTAAAGGCAGACACCCCCTTGCCTTTACCAAAACATGAATCCCGAACCTTCCACTCAAATCCTTATTTTTAGTTGAGTGGTGTTGAATGTGCAAGAAATTACTCTCTGTTAGAAAAGTCTATTTTTTACACTTCAATCGAATCCCTTTATACCTCTTGCCTTTTTCTATTTATAGAAGTCTCTGCTTGCCCTAAGAATCCCCTGTTCTTATCCAAACCTTAAGATAATATGAACTTCATCCCTCCTAAACCGACTGGATCTCTTCTTGGGCCTCACCCCGTCAGAACAGACCTCGCTCTTGGTCAAAACAGGCCTTGAATGAGAGTCAGCGGGCTGGATGGTTGTCGGGCCTTCCTCTGGACTGATGGGTCGGGCTGGACTAAGCCCAGTGGAATTTTATGCCCCTTCAGGTGTTTTGGAAATTTTTTGTTTCCTCAACAATCCTGATTCTTTGTTCGGCCTTTTGAGTAGTCTGAGTCGCATCGATTCTTTCGTAAGCTGACTTTTTCCTCTTAATACATTTACTCTTAATAAAAAATAAAAATAAATAAATAAATCCAATAACAATCACAAGCCAACCATTTAAGAATTTATTCCAAAATGTTATACATGCATTATCTAAGACTGATAAGTCTCTTGAAAAATTATTTAAACACACTTCCTTTTGCAAGAAGTCTTTAACTGAAATAACAAGCGAAGAAGGAAGACACGCAATGCATATATATACATGCAAGATTATGGTATGCAAAATATATTGAACATAAACCTGCCTGGTGGAAACTCCATGCTGGGTCTGATACTCTTTCCTTGAAGCTGCCGTGAAGGAATTTATTTTAGCGTCTTGGTCCGCTCTTCTTCATCCTACCTTCTCTGATCTTTTGGTTCCTTCCGAATGTGCTCACAAACCATTCATGATGCCTTGTGGTCAGAGTATGCCCAATGATCAGCCCAACTACTAACCCACCTCCATAGCCCATGCATATCACAAACCAATCACTTTTATCAATTGCAAACCATGAATCATCATCTTGCTTCAATTTTGAAGGTAGTGGCGGTGATGCTTCTAAATTGCCACATTTCTTTGACAATGGGTCTCCACACAATCCTAAATTCCCTTCATACGAATTGTTTTCAAATGTATTAAATTGCCTTCCTTGTGGAATAGGACCTGTGAGATGATTATGGGAGACATTGAACAATTCAAGGAACGTGAGTTGGGTTAGTTGCTGAGGTATCTCTCCCGAGAGCTTGTTCTGAGAAAGGTCCAATGCTTCAAGCTCTGATAGATTTCCCAAGGAAGATGGGATGTGGCCAATAAGATTGTTGTTGGAAAGGTTGAGAACGTGAATCCCCTTGAGATTCCCAACAAGTTCTGAAATTTTTCCTTCGAATTGGTTACTTGAGAGATCAATGACGGTAAAGGTATTCAGGATCTTCGAAAATAGTGTTTGCACACCTTTGTTTGTAAGTGTGATCGAGTAAGTGTAGTTTACTGTGACTATGTAACTGTAATTTGCAAGCCAAACTAATTTAGTGGACTCTTTGCTCGCCTTCAAATATGACTGATTACCATCGATGAGTTTCATGGCTCTCCAGGTTAGGAAGTAATTTGAAGGAAACTCGCCTGTAAAACCGTTATGAGAAAGGTCAATGATGCGCAACTTGGGGAAAGCAAAGCTCGAATAAGGTTGCCTTATTGCACCATGGAATCTATTGAAATGCAGAATGAGAACCTTTAACTCATAAAGAGATTCTAGCCAAAAGGGGAAAATATCATTGATTTGATTCTCTCCCAGATTTAGAATCTCTAAAAATGGGCAGTTGACCAAAGATCTTGGCACCATCCCGTCTAATTGGTTTTGACTCAAATCGATCATCTTTAGTTTGCTTCCTCTTTTGTATATTTGAGGAATGGAGCCACGCAGATTATTGTTTCCGAGATCCAATATTGACAGAGAATCAGTAGAACTTCCCAAGCATTGAGGAATATTGCCACTCAAGTAGTTGTAAGACAAATCAAGGGCATAAAGAGAACTCATATTGCAGATCACTTGTGAAATCTCTCCAATCAGATTGTTGCCTGAGACATTATAATAAATGGTGGACAAGGGTGGGGTTGGAAGTGATCCTTGCAGCATGTTAAAGGCGAGGCTTAAAAGGATCAGTTTAACCCACGGAAGGACTAAAGGAGGTTGGTGAAAGCCGGTTAGATTGTTATGAGAAAGGTCCATAAACAACAGAGTTTGTGTACTCATGTTCCCTATCCATTTAGGTATGAGGCCTTGAATTCTGTTGAAACCGAGGCCTAACAACTGCAAGTCATCTTGTTTACTCAAGAAATCAGGAAACTCAATTAAGTTGCATGATGCCAAACCTAGGTACACAAACTTTGGAATTAGTGTAGCATTGTCATTAATAGAGCTATTACCGGTTAGCAATGTTAGTTGATTATAACCTAGTCTTAGAAGAGTAAGATTTTTTAGGCTAAGGAATATGTCTAGCTTCATCGTTCCACTCAAGTTGTTATAAGCAACAAAAAAAAGTTCCAGATTCAAAAGTTGAGAGATCGACTCTGGAATGGGACCCTGTAACAAATTTTTGGAAAAGTCTAGATTTCTTAATCGGGTCAGATTTGTAAGCACAGGTGGGATTTGACCAGTTAGTTGATTAACTTGCATGAATAAACTGTCAAGTTGAGTCAGGTTTGCAAAAGAAGATGGGATTTGGCCAGAAAACTCAGAGAATGAGAGGTTGAGATATTTTAACCTTGAAAGACGCCCAATGCTAAATGGGATGTGGGAGTCACTGAAGTCGTTGTCAGCCAGGTTGAGACTGTGAAGGTGAACAAGGTGGAAGAGGGTGCTGCTTGAGTTGATTGAACCATAGAGAAAGCTGCTACTGAGGTCAAGGCTGATCACACGACCGGTGTCCTCATCACAAGTGACTCCATCCCATGAGCAGCAGCCATCGTGACTACTACTCGTATTCCAGGATGCAAGCTTTGGATAAGCAGAAGGATCCACAGAAGCAGACTTCCGTATAGAAATGCTTCGCTTGAACTCCATCAAAGCAGAGCTCTCATTATCATGGCAGAGTGGCTGAACGGAAGAGGAAGTACTGTTAATAGCAATGGAATGGAGGAATGTTGCGAGTAGAAAGGGTAGGCACCAGAAGGTAAAGAGATGCAGTTGTGAAGCCATTTTGTCTTGGTTCTTTTTTCACTCTGATAAGCAACCATAGATGGTGTTTATATAGCAGAAATTAAATCTGGAATGGGACCCTGCAACTCCCACATTAATTTTACGCAGCTTCCCAATATTAATGGACTGGTTGAGTCAAATGATATTAAAATGATAGTTGGTATAGGTCACAATAACGGTCACAGTCACACAGTGTTATCAACTCGTGTCACGTAATATTATCAATTATTGCAATACATTTTGATGAGTTTTTAGTGAATTTTGATAAATTTTAATGAATTTTTAAAAATTTTATTAGCAAAAGTAATGACTTATCAATAAATTTTAAGTTACTGGTATTATTAAAAATGTTTTGTATTATACTTTTATAAAAATAATTAATTAAAATAAACTTTGAGTTTAAAATAAATGAAGCACTTAATTAGTTCTAAAATTAATCTAAAATTTTTTGTCCAACCGAGAGCGACTCAACACAAAATGATATTATACTAACACTTAGCATGCAAGGCTATGCAATAAGCACATTGGCATAAACACATAAGTACGTAAGCAAGTAAACAGTTAAGTATGCTTTTCAAATAACAAAACACTATAGCAAATAGCAACATAGATATACAAATAACTTCCCACACAACCCTATGCAGGCTTCTACCCATCGTCCTAAGGGTTTTCGAACCATCGTTCTGATACCAAATTTGTAACGACCCAAAATGATACCAAAATAATAATAATAATAATAACAATATAAAATTTCGGCATGACTTCCTCAGAAAAAGTCTCTCTACAACCTGTTGAAATACATAAAAATGCAACGGCCTCACTTAGCCTTAAAACTAATCTATCATGTCCCAACACACAATGCAAATAATATACCACATTCCCAAAATAACTACATACATATAAAAAGGTCTCGTTCCTCTATCACATCCAGACAAAAAATCACCAGTTCACTACGTAATCCCATGATCCTTTACAAGGAACGTACTTTAATTAAATCAAGTAACAGTCCATGAAATATAGCTAAAATTTAAAAGTTCATAACTTACAACATTATACTAATTAAACTAAAGTTTCACAAAATAGTTAAGATTACATTTACAAAATATTAAAGTTCTAATACAAAAGATAGCAAAATAAGTAGATCTCCAATCCTGTCAAACTTGTGGTGGATCGTCATCCGCCACCTCTTTTTCGTGACCTGAAAAAGTTAATATAAAGGGGTGGACAAATTGCTCAGTAGGTGGTACCTAAGACATACCTCTTGTAACCCCGTAAATCTAAACAATGAATAGGAATAACAGAAAGCGGGATTATGCCATGCTGGGAAAAATACAACACAATTTCAAGGTCATAAATAAACGATGTTGTGCTATGGAATGCAATGATGTGCTATGGAATACAATGCCATGCTATATCGCTCCCCATTTAAAAATTCATTCCATTCATCACTTTTCAAACCGTTAACATAACCCGTCCCATGGCAACTCCATGGCAGTACGAGAGAAAGATTTGCTACTGTCCCTGACCCATGGTAACTCCATGGTGTCATTTCGGACCCAGATAACTCAATCACGCTAGGGCAGTCTCCCTAGTTCCCTCTAGGTTACATTAATGCCATGAACCCTAGGCAACTCCTAGGCGACTGGGTTTTCGCAAACCCTTTTATCAAAAAATTTTCTAAAAATCCCATTTTCTTTCATTTCAAATCAATTTTCCCATTTTATTACCCAATGTCATGCATGAATGTCTCATATATTTCAATGCCGTGCAATTAGAGAAATTCTTGCTCACCAAGTTAATATTCAATAATATACATATTTTGCAACAAAAGAAAAATTCTAAAATATATTTCATACTTTCTAATCACAAAATTTAGCACTAAAGACACAATGGGTATAAATTTTCATCAATTAAGCATGTTTTACCTTTAAATACCAAATAACACACAATCACATATTTCATATATAACATTTAAGCAACTTTGTAAGGAATTTATACAAATTGAGCATGCTATAACACAAATTAAGGAGAATAATTCACAAAAATTAAAGAAATGTGAATTAGAAACCCCTACCTCACTTAGATGCAAAACCCCCCAAAATGAGCCCAAAATTCGAAATTCGAGGGTTGGCCAAAATGGTGAATTACTCCTATCAAAGTGAAGATCACAACGAGCTCTTCGATTTGCCGCAAACGACACCAACAAATTCTCAAAATTGAGGGAGTAATCAAGGATTGAAATTCACGAAGAAAGAAAAAGAAAAATAAGAAAAGAGAGGAAGAGAGGGCTTTACGGGAGAGAGAGAAAAATGAGGCCAAATATAGCCTCTTAGTCACTAAATCAAATAAGTCGTGGGTCCCACCATTTAAAAAAAATTCTTCCACCTTTTCACGATATATATATATAAGAACAAAACATAAACATTACAGATACCATCTTCTTTTAGACGTAAGTGAAAGGGTAAGGGAAGTAAGAAGGATGACAATAGGACTGGGTTAGCACAAAACATAGGTAAGGCAGTAAATATTGAGGGCGAAAGAAACTGTTTCTTTTACGGCCAACTAAGACACTTGCAGATGAACTGTCTAAGCAACGACGTGGCAAAGGAAAATGTATATTCATCATTGAGCCATGTTATGTGGTTGTATTTATTAATTCCTGATGGATAGATTATGGAGCTACTAAACATGTTTGCAATTCGTTGCATGGATTTCAGGAATCTAAAAGCCTCGATAATATGGAGATATATTTGTCTTCTGGAACTGATGCCATGGTTGTAGCTAAGTCAGTGGGAGTATTACATATTAAATTAGAGAGTATGAGGATATTAGTATTAGAGAACTATCTTTATGCACAGTTGTTAGATGCAATCTTATTCTTGTTTCACTTTTATTTTATAAAAACTATGTTATTACTTTTGGTAAAGCTGCTTTTATAAAATTAAATAGATGTGCAATTACTTCTGGTGCATTGAAAAATGGTTAATATACTATAACCATTAGCTCTTAATATTTGCATGGTGTAGAAACGAATGTTGCATCTTCTAGATTGAATGTAAAGATAAAATTTGTTACTCTTGACTTATTATATTTTTAGTGCCTATTATTGGGTTATAATCAGTCAAAATGGGATTCAAAGATTGGTCAAAGAAGGTTTATTACTTTGTGAGGTAGGAGAGCCTATACTAACTTGTGAATCTTGTATTGAAGGATAGATAACCCTAAGGGCTTTATCAGCCAAATGAAATAGATATAAAGAATAATTGGAATCGGTACACACTGACTTGTGTAGTCTTATGAACATCCAAGCAAGATTACTCACGTTTTGGATACATTTACCTGATGCGACACAAGTCTTAAACTTTTGGTATATTCCAAGAGTGTTAAGACTGAAATAGAGCACAAATTAGGTAAACTTATCAAAACACTTCGATCTGATCATGGATGTAAGTATTTCTTGGGATAGTACAAAGACTACATGGTTAATGAGGATGTTGTGTACAAGTTTTTCACACTTGACTACTTTTAATGGATTGAGGTTTCAAAGAGGAATAACAAAATTCTGCTTGACATGGTTAGATCTATGATCAGTTATGTTACATTACCTCTTTTATTTTGGAGTTTAGCTTTAACGATATCGATGCACATTATGAATAACATTCCATCTTAGTCTGTCTCAAGGTACCGTTTAAGCTATGTTTTTGAAAAAAATCTTAGTTTGAATCATATGCACATATGAGGTAGTCTAGCACATGTGCGCTTGATATGGACAAGTAAGTTGGAAGCAGATCATATGCATGCTTGATTTGATGGCTACTCTAAAGGCACTAGGATTAATTATTTTATGATCTCAATGATAAAAGTTAATTATTAACACTCACTGTTTATTTATAGGAATATCATATTATGAATCACATACTTAGTAGCATAATAGTGTTAGAGGAGATGGTCGGCGAGCAAGTTGTACCACATATGAACACATTTATTATAGATATTCAGAATTATATGACATATGAATTCCCTATTAATGCAGCAGCATCATCTCGTACACAGATTCTTACATCGGTACATTTGTTGTAGTGAGAGGATTATCATCCAATATGACAGAATCATGTTTTTAGGTGAGACCTTTATGGACATCTCTGTTAAATATGAGTTGGACTCAATAAGATATATGGAAACATGAACTGATATAGATACAAATTGTTTTGGCAAGTTACTATGAAATCAGTGTTGGAATCTATGTATTCTAATAAAATCTAAGATCTTGTAGAACTTCTTAGTAGGATGATACCTATTGATGGCAAGTTAATCTACAAGAGGGTATCAGAAGATTTTTTAGTGAAAGACAAAGATGATCGTATGGATAAGTTGCAAAGGTTCGTTTATGAACTCAAGCAAGCGTTACGTAGTAGAAACATTCATTTTGATTAGGCAGTCAAATTATTGACTTTGAACGAAATGTCAATGAACCATGTGTGTACAGGGTAATGTCATTATTTTTTTTAATTCTATATATTGATGACATCCTACTCATTTATAATGACGTGGAAACTTCGTCATCAATAAAGAGGTAGTTGTTTAATTACTTTGGAATGAAGGATCTTCAAGATATAAGCTATATTCCTAGGATCAAGCTTTTACAAGATCGAGTTAAAAGGAAAATAAGCTTATCTTAACAATCCTACATTGATAAAAGAGTTTTTGTTTTATTGACATGGATTGCTTTCTCTAGTAAGTAGTTTTCCAAGACTACATAGGAGATTGAGCAAATGAGACTGGAATAATATGCTTCGGCATGTGGGATTCTCATATATGTCATGGTCTATACCAAATAGGACATCCGCTACACTATAGGGATAGTCAGTAGATATTAGTCCAATCCCAGACTTGATAACTGGTCTACTGTGAAAAATATCATAAAGTACCTTAGGAGAACCACTGATCTCATGCTCATTTATTGATATGATGATTTGGTCCCTGTCGGATATGTTGATTATGATTTTCAATCAGATGTAGATACTATGAGGTCCATGACTTGGTGTATGTTCACTCAATGGAAGGG